ACTTGCTGTGATTCAGAGAGCCCTGCACACCTGGCCCACATCTGGTCCATCAAGATGAGCACTGGAGCCCCTCCCTCACTCCAGCATCTGGCCATGCAGATTCTGCTGAGCGACCAGGCCCTGGCCATCTCTGCCCTGGAAGATCTGCCTGTGCTGCTGTTCCCTTCGCTGTTCATGGAGGTCTATGCTCAGGGCCACACACAGGCGCTGAAGGCCCTGGTGAAGGCCTGGCCCTTCTCCTGCCTCCCCCTGGGGGACCTGGCAGAGTCTCCAGACATGGAAACCTTCAAGGCTGTCCTGGATGGGCTCGATCTGCTACTGGCCAAGAAGGAGCGCCCCAGTCGGTGGAAACTGCAAGTCCTCGACCTGCGGAATGAGCACCCCAACATCTGGATACAGGGCTACCCCTCCATGGCCAGACTATCTTGTCCGGATGTCCTGACTGACAAGCCAAGAGAGAGCCACTGCTCAGGGATGACTGAAGAGCCTCCCTTGACCATAGCCATGGACCTGACCATCAAAGATGGTGTCCAGGACGCTCTCCAAGCCCACCTGCTCCAGTGGGTCAGGGAGAGGAGAGAACAAGTCCAGCTCTACTCCAGGAAGCTGCAGATTCTGTCTGACTCCTTCTCTGAAATCCAGAAGGCTCTGCTTGTGGTGAGGCTGGACTCCATCCAGGAACTGGTGGTGAGTGAATTTGGGCATCCAGGAATTATGAAAGAACTTGCTCCTTACTTGGGTCGAATGAAGAACCTTCACATCCTCAACTTCTGCAACATGGGTGGAGACTTCTACAGTCACCCTCACGAGAATTTATGGTATCCCTGGATTATAGGGGAGCATCTAGGGCAGCTGCAGCATCTCCAGGAGCTTCATGTGCATCACATTGTCTTGCTTAATGCAAATATACCTGCCATCATCAGGAGCCTGCCACCTTTGAAGACCTTGTCTCTGAGTTCATGTCTGCTGAAGGAAGCTGACCTGAGGTTTCTGTCCCAGTGTCCCTGCTCCAGGCAGCTCAAGCACCTGCGTCTGAGGAGATTGCCCATGGAGTCATTCAGTTCTGAGCCCCTGAAAGCCTTGTTGGGCAGAGTGGTGGGAACCCTGGAGACCCTGGCCCTGGAAGACTGTGCCATCAATGACGCCCAGCTCTCAGCCATCTTGCCCATCCTGAGCCAATGCTCTCAGCTTAGCCTCTTCAGTTTCTATGGAAATCACATCTCCATGGCCACCCTGAAGAACCTCCTGAGCCACATGGCCAGGCTGGGCCATTTGAGACGAGGGCTCTATCCTGCCCCTCTGGAGAGCTACCGCCCACAAGAGTGGAGGCAAAGGTACATTGACCATGAGAGATTTGCCAATGTTCGGGCTGGCTTGGCACACGTATTAAGACATATCGGGACAAACCAGAAGGTCCAGATCTGTACACGTTTCTGTCATCACCGAAACAAGTGCCAGTCCTACAGCATGGCACCTGATGGTTCCTGGGTGGTCACAGAGGAAGATCTTCCTGGGCTTTCTGCTCTGCCTGTGTAGTTTGGCCATCTCTCCTGGAATTTCTTCTCAGCATCAGAAATGAAAGATTGGACAGTAGTGCATTCTCCAGGCCTAGCAAACTCCAAAGTTCAATGTGGCTGGAAGACACAGGGCATCTGGTCCTTAGTTTTTCAGGTCAAACATAACTCTGAAGCCCCAGGAGTTTAAGAGTGTTTTTGGGTCCATGTGCCCTGTACACACATTCTCAGAAATTTGGAGTATATTAGGCCTGGAAAGAACTGAAACAAGATCTTGCTGTGGGCCAATCTAAGCTGTGAGAACATCTGTTATTATCTATAAATTTCTGTATCAATCAATCATAAATAAAAAGAAAAGAAAAACATGAGTAAAAAGATATCATTTCTCAGCACCAAAAAATGAGTGTATTGTTTCCACCTAGAAGCATAGCTGCTCAGGACATCTGAGATGTGAGGATCACAGTTCAAAACCAGCTTGGGAAGGAAAGTCCTTGAGATTCTCATCTCTAGTGAATCTCCAAAAAAGCCACAAGCGGAGCTGTGGCTCAAGTAGTAGAGTGCTGGCATTGAGCATTGTGCCAACATTGGCACAAACAAACAAACTTATGACATGGGCAATCAAATATAGATCCAATTCTGGTGATTAAGTTTGAGGATAAATTGAATATCAAATACCAAATGACATTCTATAAATCAAGAGAACTCTAATTCTCCAACATATTTGAGGATAAGAAATTTCAATAGATAAATCTGTAATGGTTGAGATTTGATCAAATATGCCTTCATAATGCAAACCACAGTTCTTTTGCACTTCTAAGAGAAAATTCACTTTATTCCCACAGAGGAACACACATGTACATGCGTGCACGCACGCGCACACACACACACACGCACACACGCACACACGCACACACACAAAAGGAAGAAAAAATGCATTCGTTTCTAGCATCTCATGATAGGAATCCTATTCAGGAGTCTGATATCTTAGGGTTTCAGGTAGAAGCCAGCCAAGCAGGAATATATTTGAGAGTACTATCTCCAAGAAACTCCTCACAAAATATTCTAGGGGAAGTGGCGCTGTAGCTCAAGTGGTAGAGCACTCGCCTTGAGCTGAAGAGCTGTGGGACAGCGCCCAGGCCCAGAGTTCAAGCCCCACAACCGACAAAAAAAATATATTCTAGGATTCCTAGAATCGAAGGCACTCAAAAAGTTTGAGATCTGAGGGTCACAGTTAAAACCCATTCTGGGCCAAAAATCGGTGAAAGCTTTTTACCAATTGGGTGATTAGTGTTGTGGCTCAATTGGTAGAGCACTGGCCTTGACATAAAGCAACTTGGAATACCCCCAAGGCCCTGAGTGCAAGTCCAAGTTCAGCACAAAATAAAAAAAGAAAGGAAGAGAAGAAGGCAGCCAGGCAGAAGATAAGGCAGTGACTGAGGGAGAGAGGACAAAGTAAGGAAAGAAGGGAAGAAGGAAGGCATGAAGGAATCAAGGAGGGAGGGAATGAAGGAAGAAAGGAAGTTAAAAGGGAAGGGAGTGAATTTATTACTCAATTCAAAACCTCTGAGACTTAAATTCCTTAACAGCAGTACTATCTCTCTCCAATTCATGATGACCCGGGACTCTATTCAGGAAATTCCTGCCTGTGCAGTAGTTTCAGTTTCCGGTTTGATGTTAAGGTCTTTAATGCATTTTGAGTTGATGTTAATGCATGGTGACAGGCTGGGGTCCACTTTTAGTTTTTGCCTTACTTTCCCTAGGCCATCCTGCATATCACACAGCTACATACAGATACTCTGGTTACATATAACCAGCTAATTGTACTATTCTTCAAGTCTGAAGGCCTATTATGAAAAGATTTGGCAAAAATAGTGA